CCTGTGACACCCCATTGAAGAGCTGTAGGCTGTGGATCTCTTAAGATCTTACTGTTGGGTTTGTAAGGCCATGTTACTCCTAAATTTCTATCTTGTTCAAAGAGAAGATATAAAACAAAGTTCTAAGCTAATCGACCTTAGTGTTCTCCTTTTTTAAAAAAGAATCGATAAGAGAATCGTTAAACAGAATCGAAAATGGAATCGGAATCGTGAAAATCTTATCAATACCCATCCCTACTTTCAGGTTATCTCCTCTCATTGGAATCCTAAAAGAGATTCTGACGGACCAGAGCACATCATTCATGTTCCACACACTGAGAGAGCTTTATGAATTCCTGTGTATTATGTCTATTCTGACCAGTGGATATAACCCCTAGACAGATGGCCTGTTGAAGCAGCTGAATAAGACTCTAAAACCCACAATTCATAAGTTCATTAGTGATGATGAAAACTACTAGGACCATTGATTGTATTGGCGATTGGATCTTCTGTTGCTTGCGGTGCAGAAGGTACTCCAGGCCTCCAATTCCATTTCCCTGTGAAATGCTATTTGCCTGGATACCACAAGATAAAGTGCTTATGTTACTCCATTACTCCACCACTAAATTATTTGCCAAGTGGCAAGGGCCCTTCAAAGTCACATGGCAAATGAATGATGAAGATTATGAGGTGGGACCAACTGACAGGGCACAAGCAAGGCAAATTTATTATCCCGATCATGGAGACTGGTGAAGACTGTCTAATGAGCCTGGCGAATGATAGATTGATTGATTTACAGGCAGACAAATAAATTCTATCAGTCTTGCTATGCTCCTTTGTGATGGCCTAGAGAACAGATGTTTCCGAATTGCAGCAGCCCTTTGCTGATGTGTTCTCCCCTCTACCAGATTGCACTAACCTCATACACATCATTGTGAGACTGCCTGGGTGCTTTTTCACATCACTGGATTTACGGGCTACTGGTAGATTCCCTTGTCTCTAGAGTTTGCTTTTACCTATACCTAAGAACTTTTATCTAAAATTCACACACTTGCACTCCGATAGATGAATCAGGGGAAGCTCGGGCTTCAGTATCTGTCCAGAAGGAAGTGAGGATAACTTCACCAAGCCTCTGATTGTTAGGTTACTGGCTCTATCACTTTAAGCACAGATGACACAGGCAGTGTCCACATGGACCGTCATGCACACAGTCTCTATGACTAGGCATGTAAATTATTTAGAATTTAGTGATTCTGATTTCCTTATCGATCACTTAACAATTTACTCCCAGGAGAAATTAAGTTGTTGCACTACTCATTACATCACTTTGCATTTCTCCATAAAATAATCTAAAATGCATTGTCTCATATTTACCATTTAACAATATAAACTTATCGGCTACAGTCCCACACACCAACACAAATCCCTATTTTAATGAAGATCTTTCTCTTAGACCAGACAGGACAAAAGAAACCATTCTTTCCTTAGTTCAGACAGCAGATCATCTTAGAAGAGCCACATAGAAGAGCCACCTCGACGGGACAAGACTCGGCTGTCCATCTGGATCTAAACGACAAAGGTCACTCTTTTGAGGACGTCAATGTTCACATTTTGGACAGAGAAGACAGTGAAAGAGGAGTGAAAGAAGCCATCTATGTCCACTGTGAACAACCATCTTTAAACAGGTGGTGGCTTACGACACCAACTGTCTGCCATCTATAATCCAGTTTTGAGATCCCTTCCCAGACGGAATAACGCTCACTCACATCCTGGGCCATTTGACCTCAGTACATCCCATGATAAGGTGGGGCTAGGTTTCACAATGGGTTCACCCGAAACCTTGGCTGATTGTGACCCAAACCCGTTTCTCTCACATCTTGATTAGGTAGAGGGTCAATGGGGGTCCATGTCCCTGTTGGGGACACTCCCATAGGCCTTAAAATCTGGGACTCTCCACCAGTTGCTCTTAGAACTGAAGAAGCTTCTCAGATGAGAGGGGAAACAGCAGCTAATGAATATTAAATTACAGCATATTTAAGTAGATAAACCTCAAGCCAGCAGTGAATTTAAGCAGCATTAAAGCTTACTTGTCACGGATGTATACTACTTCTTCATGGATCTGGTTCTCCAAAGGAAAGTCAAAAATCATGTTCTCCACTTGTTTTTTATGGATAACCTAGAGAGAAACAAAACAATGAAAATCTGTTTTCTGTGCTCAAATCTTGTTTTGTCTGCTATGACATTGATATAGTTTAAATATTTGGGTACTTTTGCTTTTATTCAGCAGATTCATTTTGACTTAACCCTTTAAAGCCAAGTTTATTATATTCGATATATGAGTTTTTGTAAGTGGTTTGACTTCTGTGTCATCAGTGTGAATTTTTGTTGTTGTTGTTTTTACCCCCAAAAAGCTGAAATAAATGTTAAAATATATTTTGCAAAAAATACACATAGCAAAAAAAAAAGCCTGATGTAGCATATATGGTACAAATTAATATATAAAACACATATACAAGATAATACATCAACCAGATTTGAAATGATACTGTATTAAGACTCTCTTTTATGAGTAGATGACATTACCTGGACCTTAGACACATACTCTTCGTGCTGAAGGTGTTTGATCATGTCAGGGAACCACACAGACAAGCCATAATAGCTGTAAAAACATGAGACGCTGAATTAACAAAAGGTTAAGAATAAAAGTGACTCGTCATCATATCACTTTTGACTCTAGACTCTATTTTGGATTCTGACATGTGAACTGCAATGTTGCCATATTTCATTCCCATATCTGTTGTGAGGTAATACCGTATACAATTCATGTTAGGGTAATTTTTTCCTCAGCGATCTAAAAACCAGGGAGCAAGTATTTAGAACGAAATCTCTGCTTCGCTGACCCACCTGTGGGTGGAGTTTCTCCTGGAGGCTGTCCTTTCTATACCTGCTCATCAAGCTCTTGGTAGACAACTATTTAAAGATTTCACAAATTATAACTCTATTAAGAAACCGTGCAGGTAAGCTACCTGAACTCGACTCCCACAATAGTATTACATCTTTACTGTGACTCTGAATCCTGCTGCTCCTCTGAAAAAGAAAGTCTCTAGTAAGAAGTACTTGACTCCCTGGTGTAACTCTAAGATGTGCACCTTAAAGCAGATAACCATAAGCTGGAGATGAAATGGTGTATCACTTATTTATCAGATCTTCATTTAGTCTGGAAAAATGAATCGCTGCTCTTTAAAACAGCCCTAAACCTGGAAAATCTTACTATTCTCTGTAATTATCAAAAGCATAAATCTTGCTAATCTTACTATTGAAGAAAAAACAACACCAGATTTTTCTTCAGCATTGTAGCCATGGTGACAAAATGTCAAAGGTCTGTTGAGCGAACCATTCCTTTAACTTCCTAGGACCTGGCGTCCACATATGTGGACATCACATTTTGGGTTATTTAGACCAAAATACTAAATTTTGCTCTACAAGGGCCTGATATCAACTTACGAGGACATCATGCTGCCACTGTTCTATTGAAATTTTAAACGAATATCCGCATATGTGGATCCCATTTTTGTCAGAAACAAAAATCAGGTTAAAAAAAAAAATCTGGCAATTCTTTGTTTTTACATTCATCAGGTCCCAATCAGCCCAAATATCAAAGAGAATTAAAAGATGCATGCCATTGAAAGAGTTCGGGTCTTAGGAGATTAACCTTAATTAGTAACAACTTCATGAATTTCTTTACAAATAACTTATTATCACACCTTTGGCAGTTTTAGCCATTTTGACCACGTGTCTCTGTCTTATCTGGGGCAAATTGTTACCCAAATCAAGTCTGGCTCTCCCAGTGATGTCCTTCGCCATCGCTTATTTAAAAGAAGTTTGGGACACTATTGGACCTTATATTCAAAGGCTTATTAACAGCAGCCTGACTGTAGGCGATGTACCTGTAACTTTTAAACAGGCAGTGGTCCAGCTTCTGCTGAAACGCCCTGGCCTGGATGCCTCTTTGTTGTATAATTTCAGACCTATTTCAAAGCTTCCTTTTGTTTCTAAAATTTTGGAAACATAGTTTCTTCACAGCTGCAGACTTTTTTAAACAGTCAAAAAAAAAATTGAGGTATTTCAATCAGATTTTAAAGCACTTCACACCACAGAGTCTGCACTTTGAGAGTTTTTAATGATATTTTACTAACTGCTGACTCAGGGAATTCCGTGTTATTTGTGCTTTTGAATCTCACAGCAACTTTTGATGCCGTAGATCACAACATTTTAATTTCTCGCATAGAACATCATGTTGGAATTAGAGGCACAGCCTTGGAGTGGTTCAGGTCATATCTGTTTGACAGAAGTTTCTCAGTCTCACTTGGTAAATTTTATTCATCCTCTGCCCCCCTCCCATGTGGTGTACCTCAAGGATCCATCCTCGGGCCGCTTTTTTTTTTAGCATTTATTTACTTCCCTTTGGCCATATTATTAAAAGAAACATAAAGTCTCATTTTATTGTTATGCAGATGACTGTCAGATTTATCTACCCCTGAAACTGTCATGGTCCCCATGTCTCTCTGGCTGGCTCACACTGGCTACAGGTTTTGTTTTTCTCTTCCTCTCTGCCTCTCCCTCGCTCCTCTCTGCCTGGGCAGAGCTCATTACAGGCTCTCGCGCTTGGCCCACACACCTGTGTGACTGTCTCCACTTGCTGCTGATCTGGCTGATTTCCCCAGCTACTATTTAAGGCAGTGGCACAGAGCAGTTTGCCGCTGGAACGTTGAATCTCCTGAATATCTCCTGAATAGCCCCCTCCTGGACCAGATTACGGACCCTTCCTGTGTGTGGCGGTGTGGCTGAAGAGGAGTGAGTATGGGGATTACCCCCTCTCCCTGGAGCCCCTTCCCAATTCACAGTACATATATATAGCACTGAGGTGTTCCCCGTTGTTAATAAACTGTCTTCTTTTGTTTGCAAAAAACTCTGTCTGCTTGTAAGTCTGTCCGGTAGCCATGACAGAAACATAATGACCCTGAATGCCTTAAGAGCATGCCTCAGAGCATGGCTGCCTCTGAATGTTTTTTAATTTTAATGAAAAGAAGACTGAGGTCATTATATTTGGGCCGAGTGGCCCTGGTGTCCCACCACCTGACTTGGGTCCTCTTACATCCTGTGTCAAACCAATTGTCACCAACCTTGGAGTAAAAATTGACACAGCTCTTAAAATGGACAAACAGATAAGTACAGCGGTGAGAAATGGCTTTTTTCAGCTGAGGCAGCTTTCTAAAGTCAAACCTATTATCTCTTTTTGTGACTTAGAGTTTTACATGCATTTGTGACCACTCACCACTTGATTATTGTAATGCACTTTATATTGGTATTGATCAGGCTTCACTATCCCACTTGCAAATGGTCCAGAATGCTGCTGCTCGCCTGCTGACAGGTACACACAAACACGAGCACATTAGCCCTGTTCTTGCCTCTTTACACTGGTTTCCTGTCCATTTTAAAATTCATTTTAAAATTTTATTGTTTGCTTTTAAAGTTTTGAATGGCCTGGCTCCTACTTACCTGTCAGACCTTCTACACCTATACACTCCACAAATGTCTCTCAGATCAACTGACCAGCCACTCCTTGCTGTCCCCATGTCAAGACTGAAACATCAGGGGGACTGAGCTTTCCCATATGGAAAAGATATATATATATAAATCTTATAAAGTTTGTATCTGTCTTGTGTGAAACTTGTATGAAAAGCATACAAGAGTGAAAACAGATATAAGATCCCTTGAAAAATTATATAAATGAAACTTGTATCTTTTGGATACTTACTAAAACAATATATGAAAGTAATGAGAAAGTGGCCACTTTCATGAGTAAATCATATAAGCCTTATATGATTCACTATATGAAGTAGGCCAAATCTGATACAAGTCTTTTATAAGTTTTTTCTATTTCTTTTCCACATGGGTTCGCTGTTGTGGCCCCCAAATTATGGAATAAGTTGCCCCAACACTTGAAATCTTCAAATCACTTTTAAAAACACACCTTTTTTTCTAAGGCTTTTAAGGAGAAGAACCACAGTCAGCTTGTAGTCAGTTTTAGTCAGCTTTTGGTTGCTCTTAGTCTTTTTTTACTTTGTTAATTTTATTTATTGTATATTTTATTGTCCATTTTACTCCTGTTTTAATATTTAATATTTACCAATTTATTTTATCACTTTTTTAATTTATTTATTTATTTTATTGTTATTTAACTTTCTTTGTCTGTTTAATGTATGGTTTTTAACTTTTATCTGTTTTTCTTTTACTGGAAAGCACTTTGGTCAGCCATGTTGTTTTTAAAGTGCTCTATAAATAAAGTTGGGTTGGATTGGATTGGAAATAAGAATTTAACCATTAGAAAACATGTTTTCCATGAGTATTTCTTCTTCATTCACCTTTTTCCACTTACTATGCATTTATACACCACTGCTTTCACTATGCATAAATTATTATTCATCTCTAGCTGTCATCCACAGTGTGCCTTTTATCCTGTCTTCCTCCCCTCAGCCCAACCAGTTGTTGCAGATGGCTGCCCACCTGGTTCTGACTGAGGTTTCTTCCTGTTGAAGGGAATTTGGGAATTTTCCCTCCCCACTGTTGTCAAGTGCTTGCTCAAAGGGGGTTGTGTGATTGTTGGAGTTTTCTCCCTTTTATTTTTGGGTCTTTACCTTACAATATAAAGTGCTTTGAGGCAACTGTTGTTGTGATTTGGCAGCATATAAATAAAATTTAATCAAAAATTGAATTGAAATTGGGAACTTACCTGAAAGCCATGCAGAACCAGATGACAGCCATGAAGAGTGTAGCAAATCTCAGCTCTGCAGAAAGGAGAGATGCCACGTTCCTCAACACCTGGTTTACATATACAAACACAGAATGAGCCTAGAAGTTTTTACTTATTACCACTGACTGCTTTGTTTCCAAAACAAGGAAGTTTTCCCTCACAACATGTACCTAATTGCCTCATCTTTATAAGTGGCGACTATGAAGACAAGGAATGTGGAGCTTGTTTTCAGCACCATTTGCTTTTCCACATTTTTGTTAACCCATTTCCACTTTTTCAAAAAAGAAAATTTTGGTGATCAAACGCAGTTGGATGAGCGTGGCTGAGAGTGGACAGCCTGAGTTTGAGTATGACCCGAAATCTTTAATTTTTTTTTTCCATCTGGGATTAATACAATTTCTCTGAATCTGATTGCTGGAACCCAAACAAAACACATAATAAGAGGCTCTAATGTAAGCGTCCTGTTAATGTTGGTGGCGCCAGTTGCACAATGGACCCAGAGCCAACAGTGCACGGGCAGGAATGCATTTCCGACACCTAACCTTTACCCACTCTTCCTCCAACAATGCCCAGGGCCCAACCAGGTTTTGGTGGTGCAGGATCTTCATGCATCCAAGCCAACCACAGCCTCGTGTACACACTGAACCCACTCCTCGGCCACACACACCTGTAGCTCATTTACTCTGGTCTGAATCAGTTAATGAGTTTGTAAACTTGTAGCTTTTGTCTTGCTTTGTTTCGTTTTCACACAACAAAAAATCCAATTGAACTCCAAATAAGCCAAAATCCATAATTACAAACCA